GCGATTCGCCTGTTCCCCCAGGAAGGAACAAACTCTCCAGCTTAATACGAGATTCCCCTCATCTTATCCATCTGCAAACAATTTACGAGACTCCATGCAACTACTAATTATAGTAGTGCTTTATATGGTTGTGACCTAGTGATATCTAGTTCCAATTTAATCTACCCTGTGTAGGATCCACACTGTTTTAGACTCCCCTTTCGTCTGTTAATGCGGCGACATGGTGTCGACCTAGCCTATAGCCCGATGATAATGTCTTCCGCCTTCCTCCATTCCGCCGAAGCGCGAGCTGCTGACTTCTCTACCTGCCCTGAGGATCATCCACTCATCACACAAATCGCCTGTCGATCGGGCCCTGAATTTGCGCTCTGTGCCGAAGAATTGTCTACTCTCTGTGAGGGTGTGGACCTTAATTGCGGTTGTCCTCAGAGGTGAGGGAGGAGAGGGGAATACTAAGTTGTTTTCTCACTTTGGTGCTGTTATTTAAATGGAAAGACAATCATTTATTACAGGCAGCTTTTGCTCTTAACTGTAATACTAAACTAATACTTTGGGCATTTTTTGTCTTTCTCGAATTCCAGAGTCATCGCGTGTCATCAAAAAATTATGGCATAAATGCTGGCAGTAGATAGTTCTAAAGCGCACCGCTTAAGTCGAATTTAAATTTCTTGGGCTATTGTTTGTGCTGAACTTGGTAATTACCTCCCTGACGAACGAAACCCAGTTCTATCAAGAGTTGTAACCCCTCTCCTCTCGGCATTCTAGCTCCCACTTTTTTTCATCCTCTTCTCGTCAAGGTGGGCGATGGAAGAAGGCTACGGGGCAGCTCTACTAAAGCATCCCGAGTTGATAGAGGACTTGGTGAAGGCAGCCAGAGCAGTCGTGCCCCGGTGGCGTGTCGTTAAAGCACCCCAAGATGAGGAGCGTCGAATAGCCTTCTCTGTGAGCATCAAAATCCGTCTCGTTCCCTGCCCTCCACGTGCTATCGGTGAAGACGGTGATTCTTCCAGCTCTACATCCTATCCGAGCGTAAGGAGGGACTGAGGCTTTGTTCTCGATAGTGGGTTGAATTATTAGTCTTTTCAATAGACTTCAAAGAATCGAGTATTTAAGCTAGCGTTAGTGAATAATACGGCTTTCATCTGCGACGTTATGGAAGCGACTATATAGGCAGTTCAAGGAAAGCCAGTCACAGGTCAGGTCTCT